AAGTGCCTGCAAGCAGGCCCAGGGGCCTGGGGTTGGCTCCTGCCCCCTCCTCCACCCCCCCCCCGGGGGGGGGGCTGAGATGGTGATTGAGACTGGGCGTGGTGGCGCGCGCCTATAATCCCGGCACTTGGGAGGCTGTAAACAGGAGAATCAGTACGAGTCCGATCTAGTAGTGACACCCTGAATACCCTGTAGACCCTTCCATAAAAAAATACAGAAAAAAAAAAAAAAGTCTGAACGTATAAGATTTCTCTCCATTTCTTTCATTTGTCTTAGAAAACAAGCTGGAATATTGTGATAAAATTTAAAGTTTGGAGGCCAAATCTCCCAATTATCTATTTTATTCTGAATCCAAGTTTAGTTGCAACACATTTTTTCCCCTTTTAAATCTTACAGATCAAAACACTCTTGATTTCATAAAATACAACCTAAAAGTCGTATTTCAGAGGTAAATACTGAATTACCCAGCACATGCCTTCACATGATTTCCAGTTTTAACTTTTGAAAAGAGATACAGAAAGGAAGAAATGAAAGATGGCTGGGGATGGGAGTGTCCTATTTAGGTCCCCGGGGTTGTGGCTCCTGAGCAGTTTTCCCAGGATTCATGTTGCATAAGCACATGGCCCTCTTTTCCATCATGATTAGTCTAGATGTCTGTGTCAGTCAGATAGAACTTGTCCCCAAGATCGAGTAACCTTGTTCAGTCCAACTTGTGTCATGGCCAGGACCAGCATCCTTGTTTCTGGCACACAGCTACCCAAACCTCTGTCAGTAGGTCAGAGAGGCAGAAAAAACATTGGACATGATTCTTGGGCCTTCCTGAAAGAAAATCATTCCCAAGATCTTTATACCTAAGGATCTGTAACATAGGCAAGGAACTCAGGAGGTTTCTTTCATCGCCAGACTGAGTTTATACCCTTTGATTTTCAGAGTAAAGAGGATGGGTGGGGGCACTAAAAGACAATACAAATACAATACTCCTAAATAGGATACTCCCATCCCCAGCAACCTTTTTATCTCTTCCTCTCTTTATCTCTTTTAAAAAATTAAAACTGGCAATCATGATGAAGGTGTGTGCTACATTTTACTGGCCTGTGAGTAATTCAGTATTTACCTCTGAGGATCTCTTTTAACTAAAGTGTTTGTGATCCAAACATGAGCATGATTTAAGGAAATCTCTTATTGGGTATCACCCTGCTATGGCTTGCATCTCGATGTGCCCCCAAAGCCTCGTGGGGTTGTAGGGCTTTTTCAGAGGTGGCTGGGCCTAGAGTGGGTGATTACTGAACCAGTCCACTGAGTGGTACACCCCCAATCCCTGTAGTCTGGATAAGATAAAAGGGGAAGGCAGATGCTGTCAAGGTCTTCGGTTGCTTTTGCTGTCTTTCTCCACCAGGAACAATTGCACCTCTGCTCTGCCACCCTGCCTTGGAATCAGCAGATCGTGGAGTGAAACCTCTACAAACTGAGCTAAATAAACCTTTGCTCCCTCAGTGAGGGCTGGGTATTTTGCCTGAACAATGAGAGAAAAGTAACTAAGATGCACCGCAAAGGCTGGTCCGCTCCATGCTGTCTCAGGACTAGGTTTCCCAGGATACCTCATAAGAAACTTTGATTGAGACCCTTGGTAGGTCTATTATGTTTTTTCCCAGTGAGCAAATTTTAGCTCCATTTGACCCCAAAATGAAGTATGTTGACCCAAGAAATTCTTAACTTGGCCACTACACATCATAAAATTACCTCTCAAAACCTTTTTCCTTTTATGATTAGGGGGAATTAATGCCCCTTGTCTTCAGGGCTTTTGTATATAAGTGTGTTTATTTTTCTTGGGACTTGGGAGCCTCTCACTGCTGAAAAGGAAAAAAAAAGAAAACTCTAAGACTGCAAGGATTTGCAGAAAGGGAAAAGGAAAAGGAAAAAAAAAAAAAGAAATCATGTAGACTTCAGAGGTCAAGAGGTTGGGGGAAGAAGAAAAAATGGAAAGTCTTCGGCTAGAAAGTCATGATTCTGATGCCCTGTGTACCTCCTCCCACTGGCTTGGCATGAGAAGATTTCACCAGAAAGGATCTGAGGAGCTTCTTAGAGCTGAGACAAGAACCTAACCTGCTCCCCCTGCAGAACAAGCTTCCAGGTTTTCTGACTTCTGTTATAAAAAAAGAATTTTCAGGCTGCATGACTTATTAGACAGAAATTTAAAAGTACACACTCAAAGAAATAGAGTGTAGGCTCTTGAGAGAGAGAGGTAAGTTATTTCCTGGAACTGGGGCATTTATGTTTCTCAAAGAAAAGGGAGGGGGTCACCCCCAGAAAGCTACTGGCCCCTTTACAGCTATGAACCCAGGTTTGATTTTTTTTAATTAACATGGATAATTTAAGCATTCTCTGAATTTTCTCATTCTTTATGTTAAGCCAATTTTTGGGCTTGTGGTATTTGTTGTTGTTGTTTTAATTGTGATCTTAAGGAATTTGAGTATGATGGATCTGGAAGGAAAGGAGTCTACATTAGCCAAGGGAAGGCCAGTGTGGGTGGTTCCTGGTCATGTTGTCACACAAAGCTTTTATCCCACATTTTGGTTTCCTCAATTAGCCTCTGAATTTTTTTTTTTTTTTTTGCCCCCATCATCCTTCTTGGAAATAGTGTTAGCAGATGACTGACTTTCTTAACCTACTTCTGCCTATATAACATAAGTGGCTCAAAGCCCTTTGCATATTTTGAATAATTTCAGTCCTTTTACATCTAAACTAGCATCATTTCTGATTGAACAGCCCCATGAAAGAAAAAGGTAGTGGCTTTCATACTAATCTGTCTATTTTATCCTCTTAACTAGACAGAAGTTGGGCTGGTGAGATAGCTCAGTGCCTGCTTAGGCAAGCTTAAGCAAATGCAGGGACAGCACTTTGATCCCTGGTACTACATGTTGCACCAGCCCTGCCCCCAGGGTGAGCTGAGCGGGAAAAAAAAAAAAAAAAAAAAAAAGACAGAAGTTGCCACCATTGTTGTCTAGACACAACTTCTGGTTTACACACTACTACTTTGGAATTAGGTGACTGCAAGATCATGATATGAATATTCTAGAGTTATTTTGTCCTGACCAAATAATTTAACTTAATCACTTCAGAGGTTTAACAAGAGGTTAGCCAGCCATACCCTTGGTCTGTATTTTACTTTGGTAAAGTAAGAGAGTAGAACTGAGCAATTGTCATGTTTTCCATTCCAACAAGTCATTTTGTTAATGAACTGCCTAGTTCTGTCTTTATTGCTTCTCTTTCTTGGCGTTTCAACATTCTGACAGGATTTTCTTGGCCAAATTCAACACTTTTCGATATATTTTTAAATTATATGTCTGTCTATCTGTCTGTTCTGTCTGTCTGCCTGCCTACCTATATTGCTGGCAATGAAAGTTTAAAAAAGTAACAGCACCACTACAAATAATTTGCATATTACAAAGATTATTCTTCAGATTTTATATTTCTGTGGTTGTCCAACCTTTACCACTCTCTAATTTTAGAACATTTTTGACTTGCTTAAACCCCTCTATCCACAAGCAGTCAGCCCACATTGCTCTTTTTCTTCAACTCTTGGCCAGCATTCATCTAATTTCGGTTTCTTTAGATTGACCTATTTTGGCCATTTCGTATAAATGGAATTATACAATATGTATCTTTTGTGACTGACTTCTTTCATTTAGTATAAAGCACAGGAGAAACAGTTTTGCAAATAGTTTTAATGCTATATAAAACCAGTTACCACTCTTCCAGTTTTGAATACAATTTCTCCATCATGTCCAGAGCCTCTGCTGACAGCAGACTTACTGATTTTCTATCATCCACCCTGACTACTTTTAAAATCAATGCTGCACATTTTAGATTATTGCTTATATCAGCATTTCGCTTACGGTACCAATTTCCACATCATTATTTATTACCAAAATAATATTCTATCAAAACAAACTGAAATAAGAATCGTTTAGTTTTGTTCATGAATATACAGCACTGATGTGAGCAGATTAGACATGTTTCTGGTGTAAAGTGAATATCAAATAGTTCTGCTGACTTTTCATGGCATTCGTACTCTAGAGGCTTGTCTGGCACCGGCTCCTGGGACAACAGGCCTTCATGTGGTGCCTACCCCTCCAGCAGATCAGCCTGGCTCTTTCACAGGGTGGCTGGGCAGAGGTCCAGGAGAGGTCTCTTGAAGTCTTGGGCTCAGAGCTGGCATATCCAATGATATTTGGCCTTATTCTATTTGCCAAAACTAAATGAGAGGCCAGCCTAGAATCAATGGGTGGGGAAACAGATATTGTTCTTGACAGGAGGAGCTATAAATTTGCATGAAAAAGGAGGCCATTAGCTTAGGCCATCACTGCAACCAATTACAGCTGCTATTTAAATTACTGACACCAAATAACCATGGCCAATTCAATAAGACTGTTGGAGCTCTGTAATGTCCATGAAATTCAATGCAGCAATTTTTATTAAACACCTACTGTTTGCTAAGCACTGTGTGTGGTCCTGAGGAGATGGAGATGAAGACATAGAATCTTCCTGAAGGAGTTTGTACTCTAATAGCCATGGAAACCAACAAGTACCACCCAATATTATAAATTCAACTGTGTGTCCTAGACAAAAAATGAACTGCTAAATTCCACTCAAGCCTTCATAGAAAAGATGGTATCCAAGTTGGGGAATGGGAGGCGGACTGCAAGGGAAGAAGGGTGGGTCAAAAGAGAAGGGAGAAAGGACAAAGGTATAGAAGCATCAATGTCTACCATGTGAATAGGATTCCAAGTACCTCAGAATCCTGCAAGCATCAATATTAGCAGCAGGAGACAGTAAGTGATAAAGTTGGAGGAAGGTAATGTGGTTTATTAGGGTTAAAGCTGAAGGTAAGCAATGTGATATATAAGATTCTTCAGAAAGACAGAACTGACATTTATAGCTTATTGGCTATCAAGTTATCTGTCTAAGTTTTTATAAGGAATTGTCTTACATGCTTCCAGAAGCTGAGAAGTGCCACAATTTTACATCTGCAATTTGGAGACCAAGGGGATATGGTGGTTTAAATCTAAAGCCTGAGAATCAGGAGAGTGAATCACGTAAGTACCAACCTATGTGCAGGAGAGGACAGAGCTCTGGCTCCCAGTGTGGTGGGGTGTGGGAAGTGGAGCAGAATTTTCCATTACCCAGCCTTTTATTCCTAATCAAAACTTCAACAAAGTGAAGAGGGCAACCTTTTTTACTCAGTTTACCAATATAATCTTAATTTCAGACACATCCATCCATACACAGCCAAAGTAATGTTTGAGCAAGATGCGCTCTTGCTGGCCTGGTGAATTTAACCCATAACGTTAACCATTACATGAGGCAATGATGGTTCCATGGAAGGATAGCGCTACCTGATGCTGGAACTCATTAGCTATTCTGGGAGAACTTGGATGAATTACCAGTCTACGGCAATTTTGATGACAGACTAGAAGGAAAAAAAAGCATAGACATGGAAACCGGCCTCACATCCTGTGGAATAGATCAGTAGTCCATTAAAGGAGGATAATGATGGCCTATACCAAAACAGTGGTAATAGAAAGAAGGAAGAAGACAAGTTTTAAGGAGCAGGATTTGGTGATATATTATGAAAGGCAATGAAAAAAGGGGAAAATTAAGAATGAGACCCAGATCTCATGTCTATTGTTTTCATACCCTGAGTTATCTTCAAACCTGTTGTGATATTCTACATACCCTTTTCTCAGTAGAATGCATTTATTAATCTAAAATCTCAGTCCTATCAATTAATAGCCTAGGGATGTTGTTCCACGATTAAAGTTTTTAGTTTTTTATTCTGAGATAATTGTAGGTTCACTGGCAGTTGTTAGTAATAATACAGAGAGATTCTGTGTAGCTTTCATTCAGTTTCCCCTCAGGTCAATATTCTGTATACCTATGCTAAAATATCACAACTGAAAGAATGTCATCGACCCACTCCACCAATCTTACTTAAATTTCACCAGCTTTACATGCACCTATCTGTCTGTGTTTATGTAGTTCTATGAAATGTCATCCTGTTTGTAGATTTGTGTGACTGCCACAAGGACACCTTGGGTTCCCCTCTGCAGGCTCAGCCACTTGCCTCCTTCTTTTGCTTCACAGGTCCTAGCAACTAATAAAATGATTTTTTCTTTCAGTGCTTGGGATGGTACCCAGGGCTATGTGCAAAATAGATAAATGCTTTATCACTGGGCTCCACCCTACTCCCCAAGGTTTTGATAAAATGTTCTTCATTTCTACAATTTGATTATGTTAGGAATATCTTATAAATGGAGGCATGGATCAGGGAACCTTTTGATAGCAGCTTTTTCCATTTTAAATAGTTTCCTTGAGATCCATCAGAGCTGTTATATGTATTACTGATGTCCTTTCTATTACTGGGTAGTAACCTAGAGTAAATGTAGTTAGGACACAGTTTAATTATTCTCTCACTGAAGGACTTCTGAGTTGTTTTCAGGTTTCAGCCATTAGAAATAAATATATAAGAGCTGGGGAGATGGCTCAGTAGAATAAGCACTTCCCTGGCAAGTGCAACAGCCTGAGTTCAATCCCTGGTTCTGAAAAAAAAAAAAAAAAAGATACAGCAACACTTGTGTACAGGTTTTTGTGTGAACATAAGCTTTAGTTTCTCTGGAGCAAAGGTGTAAGAATATCATTGGCTCTTCTGATTAGCATGTGTTTGGTTCTCTAAGAACAAAACCATTATTTTTTTTCCAGAATGGCTATACCATTTTTTCATATTTCTACCAGCAATGTAGGAAAATTCCAGCATCTCAGTATCCTTTCCAGTATTTTATAATTAGATAGCTATATGTCTATAGCTATATGATTTTTCAGCCATTCTAACAGATATAGTGATATCTAATGTGATTTTAATTTGCTCTTCTTTAATGGCTAAAGATTTTGAATATCTTTTCATGAGCTTATTTGCCATCTATTTATCCTCTTTAGTGAAATACTTGATTGTCTTTTGCCTATTTTTTTAGTTTCATTGCTATTTTCTGGCATTCTATTTTACTCTTACCTATGTAGTAGTCTAAATCTTATCCTGTGTTTTAACTAAACAGATTTTTTTTCTATGGAAGAGAGTGAAAAGTCACATTGAGCTTCCACTGCATTTTATTTAATAGATTACTCAGACCATGCACAATAAATGATTTTTAATGGAAGTAAAGGGAACTGGTCCTGCCTGCTGGTTTTGCTCCTCCAAACCATTGGTTGTTGCTAGTTTCTCACAGTACCCATAAGGGCTGAAGAATATTTGCTTAATTAGGTATGCTATGATTTGGGCTTAAGCAAGAAAGTTTGGCTTTAGGTCCAACTATAGCTTGGCATTTATGCATCTCTAAAGTCAGGCAAGGGCCACGATAATTAGTTAGGCAGTTGTCTGTGTTTGACTTATAACTGGAAAAATCTCCCACTCAGAAAAGAGCAACTTCTGATTCTCTTCTCCTTCTCTAGTGTTTTAATTAAAGGTATCCTAGCTTCTCTATTTGTGTTTTTATCCAATGAATTCCAGAAATAGACATCAATTTTGTTTTTCTTTGGCAAATCATAGCTGCTCAATCAGTACATGTATAATTGCTAAACAACAATGCAATCAAATCTTGATGTTTATATGGGGAATTAGACATTGCCCCAAAGCCTCACGAACTTACAGGTGGGGCTTTAGGAAGGTGCCTGGATCATGGGAGTGGGATACTCAGGAGTGAATTAGCCCAGGGGCAAGCTTATAGACGAATGCAATTTGGGAGGTAAGCCTGTCTGGAGAGGGTGGGCCCCTGGGAGCCTGGCCTGGCAGGCATATCTCCCTCCTCCTCCCTCCATCCCTCTCTCTGCTTCTCTGCTGACTTTAGAGACAGCTGACTATGGGCTGAACCTTTTACAAATTGTGAAATAAAAGCAACCCCTTCTCCTTTAATTTGCAGGTACCAGGCACGGTGTCTCAGCAAGAAGAAAGTAACGCAGGTGCAGAGTCAGTCAATGTAGAGAACGTGAAGGCTCGTGCTGGACGTGTGAGTGGACACTGCTTTGTTTTCTTCATACTAACTTAAAGTAATATTCATTTGTACAACCTTTCTCCCCAGCATAGGATATTACCAAAAGAATTGCATACGACTGTGTGACCTATTGTTTTGAAACAAAAACAATCAAATAAATATGCACCAGGAAGTTAGTAACAATTCCTGTGGAAGAATAAGCACATAGTTTTAAACTCTATTAGAAAAAATACCCTGCAGAGCAATACATTAACTGGGTTGCAATAAATATCAAATTCAGAAATCAACTTATGTCAAGAACAAATGATTGAAGAGGACTGACATGATCTAAAATATAGACTAGTATAGAGAATGCTCCAAGAAGGGAACCAAAGCAATAAATAAATAATCATTTATATTGTTTCTCCTCTTTTAAGTTAATGATTCATGGATGAAAGGGGAACCAGGGTTAAGTAATTCAAGTACCCAGCATCAATCAGAGACTGTGTTCTAGTTTGTGAGGTACAAACTGGTTTAGAGGGCTCTAAGGACTTCTCTGGGCTGTTTTTCCTAGGTAAAGCATTCTACTTATGGAAACTCAAGATTATTTGGTCCATTTTGGCATTTATTCACTTGAGAAACCATCCTGAACTGGATCTGCCCCAGGAGCAGGTTGGTATCCTAACACCAGTGTCATTGAAGTTAGCTGATGAGTGCTGTGTGGGATGGATAGATATAGCAGGCCTTCCTGGTGGCATGATGAAGACTCCTCTCAGATTGAGAGGGAAGGTCAGAGCTGCGGATCTCAGCATTTGTCTTCTCTTCAGATGTACTCAGTGAATGCCTTCCAAGATTTAGCACTTTGCCACGTACTGCAATACAGAAATGAGAAATCCTTCCTCTCAAACAGTTCAAAATCTCACATGGTTGGCCGGGAAGATGGCTCAGTGAAATAAGCGCTTCCCTGGCAAGTGCAAGGGCCTGAGTTCAATTCCTGGTTCCACCAAAAACAAAAACAAAACAAAACAAAACAAAAAAAAAACAAACCATAAGCTCAAAATCTCACATGGAAGAAAGACAAATGATCATCAAATACAGTGAACATAAATAAGTATTATGGTGGGAGCAAGTTCACAGTATTACTCAAGAGTGAAAGAGGTCAGATTCATCTCTGTGGTGGTGGTGATGGGTTGGAGGAGTAAAAGAAGAGGTTCCTACTGAGGTAAACACTGAAAATGCACCCTGTGGGTGATACGGAAACTTAGTTAGCAGACAGCGGAATGAGGAGCAGACTCTGTCAAGCAGGTGAAGGCGTGAATGTGAAAGTGGCACTCTGCAAAGCTGCCTGTAGTTTGCTGTGTGAAGTCTAAGAGGAAGCAGGAGAAGGGGCTTGCATGGGTGGCTACACCCTAGTGGAGATGGTCCTGGGAAGATTTCACACAGGGCAGGGACAAGCTGACACAGGCAGAATGAGGACAGAAGTTCTGCTGCATGCTGTGTTAGTCACTTTCTCTTCATTGGACAAGCGATCCAACACTCACGACTTAAAAGAGGGAGGAGTATTTTGGCTTCTGGTTTCTGTCCATGGTCAGCAGGCCCCAAGGCAGAAATAGGATGGCAGAGGGACAGAGAGGAAAAGATGCTCAATCCATGGTGTCAAGTAAGCAGAGAGAGGGAGGAGCTGGAGCCAACACACCTTGCCACGTTCTGCCCCTAGTGATCTGCCCCTTCCTTTCAGGCCCCACTTCCTGGCATGAAAATTTGGGGGAACATTTTAGATCTAAACCACAACATTTGCTGGGACTATTTATCCCAACAAAGTCAGTGGTTGCTGTGTTTTTACTCTTAAGCCTAGCCTGTTCTTTTATATGGTATCAGGTATTTTCAAGGCACATTACTACACACAGACTCATGGTCCACACCCAGGGCACAGCTGCTCCATGGAAAATTCGTGGAGAACCTGGGTGCCCGTGTCTCACTCTCCTCATTCCTGTCCTCATCCTTGTGTCTTATTTCTCCACTAGAGGAGGGGCAGAGTTGAGAATGGAAAGTAATGAGCTTTCAGTTATAACTTATGTGTGAAGGCTGCAGAATCCGGGAAGCTCTATCTGGAAATGATGAAGTGTCATTAGCCACTCTGTTGTTTTCCAATATTTGAAAGGATTTACATGTAAAAGAAGGGATTTGAGTCTTCTACATAGTTGTAAAATACAGATGGGTGAAGCTATAGGAAACATTGACTTGTTTCACAGCAAAAATCATTGTGCCTCTCCTTTGGTGAATGACTTGCCAATATCCTTGGGTTATAGGGGATCCCTAATCTTTCTGACAGTCCTGTAAATCTGTGTTTTTACCCTCATTGTTTGAATGAGGGTCCTCAGATGCACGCAGGCCTCAGACCTAGCTGTCCAACTCCATTGCATTGAAGGCCTTTTAGGAAGAAATATTCTGGGCTGTGCTATCTCCTCTTACAGGGAGCTATAGGAGGAGAAATGGAGCAGGAGCTGAGCTGACCATTCCTTTTCCATTCTCCACTGCCATGGAACTCACACATCATTCTGGGTGCTGGACTGTATGCATTTCAAGGCTGTCTTTTAAGCATAGTCTCAAAGGTCTATGTCAACTTGCAAATGAGCAAGAAACTTACAATATATAGTACGTGTATTAGTTCCCAATTGCTGCTGTAAGAGATTGCCATAACTCCAATGACTTGAAGTGGCACAATCTTTTTTTTTTTTTTTTTTTTTTTTTTTTTTTTTTTCTTTTTGACATTTCTGGAAGCCAAACTCCCACTTTCACTGGGCTAAATTCAGTTGTCAGCAGAGCTGAAGGCTCTCGGGGAAGACTCTGTGTCCTCCCATTTCCCTGTAGTCCTTGGCTCGCAACCCCATCTTCCACCTTCAGGTGCACATCCAATCTTCGCTTTTCCATCATCACAGTGTCTTTTCTTCTCTGTACTGTGGCTGCTCTCTCCTCCCTTTTAGAAGGACACTAGTGATTGCGGCGAGACCACCAGCACAATATAGCACCATTTCCTGATCTCAAAATGTTTAACTTGCTCACATCTGCAAAGACCTTTTTATTATGTAAGGTAACAATTATAGTTCCAAAAATCAGGGCACAGATATCGATGGAGAACTTCAGATGAGCCTCTTACTGCAAGAAAAAGCTAAAGCTTAGATATCTCTAGAATGTGGAGTCTTCCTGGAATTTGGAAATTTAAGGAAGGAATTCTAGTCTGTACATATCCTTCAAATGCTCGGAGCAGAGCCCATTAGAGCTGTTCTCTAGTATGTGCATCACTTATAGAACAAAGAACAGTTTCACAGGGGGAACCAAAAAGGGCGCTTTAACATATCTATTCTCACAAAGGATGGTAGCATTCTAAGACCCAGATAAATAAAATATGTGCCAGGTATCAAAGTCTCAGGAGGCAGATGCCGAAGTCAGAGAATAATCAAGAAAAGCTAATCACAAACCAGACAAAGACCGAGTAGTACTATTGTTCTGCATTGTCCCTCCCTGTCAAGCTGTAGGACTGAGGGCACCTGAGGATGGAGGGAGATAGCGATTGAGAATTTAATACCAGTGTGGTATACGGGACTTGCTACAGATCTGATCCAACTGGCAGAAAGTAGGGTGCCTCAGCATCCGACACTGAATAACGGAACATTACTTATGCTATGCTGAGGCCTGGTTGCCCAATTCTATTTTTCTCTTAATTTAATTAATGAATGAATTAATTTCTAACTTAAAAACAGTGAAAATAATTAAAAAATTAAAAAATGACATAGAATTTCAAAAAACAATATGCTATGAATTCAACAATGGCTGCTTCATTGCGTATTGCTATCTCCCAAGTAGTTGTTCAGGTTATCAGACAAAAGCATGTAAGCATGCAAAGGAGGAGGAGAATCTATACACACAAGACAGAGAAGATAATTGTACTACTAAATTTCTATTGATTTATTGAAAGGAACAATTAATGCTGAATTTTTTTGACCAATTTTTTATGCCCAATTCTATTTCAAGCAGGGCACTATTCAAGCTTTGAAGTCACTGAGTGGGAGTCACTCCAAGGGGCATTCACGCAAGAAGAATCTGTTGAGTCTAAGTAGGTATATATTGCCACATTAGGTACTAAGTGAGATACAAAAATAAGGAGAACACACAACTCAGCCCCTGAAGGACTTTATGCAAGAAGCTCCACACAGGAATCCAGATAATAGCGGCTCACAACAGAGCTTGGCTTTGGGTCCTGAGATTCCAGTCCTGCTTTTAGTTTATACACCGACATGGACAAAGTCATTCATAAATAATAGCGATCTGTTGCTTGATTATTATCATGCATTATCTGCTATAGAGAAGATTGAAAAAATAAAAATAGTTTGATTACAAGAGCAACACAAAGGAAACATTTATCTTCTTCTGTATGCTGCACCCTGACTAAACACAGGCTTGTGTGAATGCACCGTGCAGGGTTCCTGTCTTCAGGACCCTGAAGGGCACTCTGTGCTGAGGAAATCCAGATGGAAAACTCAAAAACATAAACTGCTCCATAGAATTAAAAGCTGTGCTTCCTGCTGGCCAGCGTGCCACGGCTTGAGCTGCTTCTCTCCACTCGTGCCTTCCGCCTTCTCTTCCTGCCTTCGCTGAGCAGCTGCAGACTGGCAACCTGGGGCGAAACAAACCTCCCTTCTTTCATGTTGCTGCATGGAGAGAGTATTCATCCCAGAGAGGAGAGAGTGACTAAGGTAGATAGTAATGGCAAACTGCAGTCCCTAGGAGTTCAGGAGTTCTGTGCTTACTGAGTTGAGAAATACATTCCTTAGGATGGAGAGCAGAGAGAGGTTGGGGAACAGAAAAGGGGAAAATGGGGAGAAAGAGGGAGCCCAAATGTTTTCTGTTCTCTTTAGCAATAAGGAGAGGTAATGGCCTCTGACAAGGCCCATCTGTAGACATCCCTGCTCACACTGAAGGTCAAGTTCAAAGGCAGAAGCCCCGGCTAGGACCCTATGTGCGCCCAGAGCAATGGGAAGGCCAAGAGCAGTTGGGGCTTCTTCCAGCATCTCAGGGAGAGCAGCCCTCTGTCTCAGGGGTGCAGGGCTGCCCTAGTGGGACCCTTGAGGACAGAAGTTTGCCCTTAGCCAGAGCCCCAGGAGTCTGATGTGTGCCCCAAAACCAACCATGCCCACAAAAGCACCAATCTCCATGAGGTCTAGGAGCCCAAGAGAGGAAGCAGACCCCACTCTCTGGCCCTCTGTCTCCAAGACAGTGGAACCCAGAAATGGAGTGGCGGTCTGCACTTTCATGCCCAGACCAGACCCTTGGACATGCAGCAGTCCTTCAGTCCTATAAGAACTGTCCATGCCTGCTGCCAGACCTGCAGTCTGACCCAGGCTGGACCAGGACAAGGTCTCCTCAGAGTATTTGCTGGTCCTCCTGCCCTTCCTGGAGCTGCACCAGGCCTGCTGCCTCCCCAGTACCATTCCCTGCAATGAAGAGCCCACTCTGCCCTCTCCCTGGGCCATGACTCAGTAAGAAGCCTGGCTTTTGCCTTATGGAGCCAGATATGCTAGCTAGTTAGTTCAATAGTCATCCTCCACTGAGGCACTAAGGATATTTGTTATCATGATAATAAAAAGCAGTTTTGATTTAAAA